CACCTTGTGCTACATCTTTCCTAGCAGTTACTCCCACAACTGTTATCACTATTCCACTGAAACCAGTGGCTAGAAATATATTTTCATGCTGGACAGCTTGGTCAAAGGTCTCTTTGGAAACCATCTGCACGGCAGCTTGCTATGCCATATATAAACACTTTCATGGCACATTACATAACTCCCAACTTTCGGAGAGCTGAAAGTGGGAAACCTCTAAATATAAACTGTGTAGGCCACGGGTAGCCAAACTCTGGCCCTCCAGCTGTGGTGGAACTACAAATCCCATGAGGCGTTGCAAGATTCTCACAGCCACAAGCATGACTCACGGAGAGAGACGCATCATGGGATTTGTAGTTTCACCACAGCTGGAGGGCCGGAGTCTGGCTACCCCTGGTGTAGGCAATGGACAAGCCTCCCAGTTATGTGGACCACAAAGAATTAATGTTTGGTTAAACCCGAAAGTTCTTTATCTCATCACTACTTTTTTTACTCAGAAGAGCAAATACAATAATATCGAGGTTATATCTGAGGCTTAGTGCAATATAATATGTCTCATAGCCTAGTAAATAGTGCATTTTCTATAGGCGTTTATACATCTGACCAAAAAGAGGGACAATTGAGGAGGGACAGAGGGACTTGGTTCCAAAAGAGGGACAATCCCTACAAATGAGGGACAGTTGGGAGCTATGCAGTATGGTGTGCATCATTTTCCTTTGGTGGATTTTGAAAGAAAAGTATTGTCAGTTTCTGTTGATTGTATTTATAAGTAATACCTGAACATCTCCCTGTTTTTGATTCCCAGACACCAGGAGAAGAGAATCTTCTTTGTTTACACACAGATGGGGCATAATTATAAAGCAGATAGTCTGACATTCAGCAAAACATGCACTGCAGGTGAATCTTTCTGGTGCATGTGTGTTAAGTGATTGAGTCACCACCAGTGAATGTTTGGTGAAAGTCACATTCAATGCTTTTTAAATATGTTCTTAGGGCTTGTTCACACCATATACAGTGCCTTCCAGTGCAGTTAGCTGCTGGAAGCACCGTATCACATCCTGGATGGCATCCTGCATTCAGGGGCGGGAGGGGGCGTGGCTGCAGAGCCATTGACTTTAATGCACTGCCATGCCCCCTCCCGCGCCCCGCATGCAGTTCCATCGCCAGCACCAAAATGCATGGCACATCAATGCCTGCGTTCCGATCCAGTGCGATCTGAAAATATAGTGCATGCATCATTTTTTTCGGATCGCACTGGACCAGAACGCAGGCATAAAGAGGGACAGCCTGGAGATGGGATAATGTGCAACGTTCAAGGGGGAAAAGTGGGCATGGCTACATAGTGCTGAATATTCGGCATGGTTTAAAGAGGCATAGGTAAATAGGGTCTGCGCACAGCATGCACTGCACACGTTTGCTTAGTCCTTGTACTCACAAAATATTCTGCATTCATAGGGGTATGGAGGACCAGAGCTACGAGACGAGGCTACTAAATTTAAACATGTTCACATTAGAGGTGAGGAGATTAAGGGGGGATATGATTTCCATGTACAAAATGTTTAATGGTGGTAGCAACATTAGCGATAAACTGTTTAAAATTAACTCCGTTACAAAAACTAGAGGCCATCACCTAAAATTGGTGGAAAAAAAATTCCAGCACAAGGGGCGAAAGGGGTTCTTCACAGTAAGATCAGTTAGGGTCTGGAACTCACTGCCACAGGCGGTGATTTCAGCAAATAATGTGGAATTGTTCAAGAAACTTTTGGACGATTTCTTAAGGGACCGTAATATACAGGGGTACGGGTACTCCTAGAATGAGATCCTAATAGGTTGGACTTGATGGACTAATGTCTTTATTCAACCTCAAATACTATGTAACTATGTAACTATTGTGCACAAGCAAGATTCTCACAAATACACATAGACCTCCAGACAAAATATATTTCTAAAAACTCTTTTCAAAAACACCATTACATATGCTTTTTGTCAGAGCCTAACTTAAAGAGGAACTTTAGCCACCAATTTAATGCCTCCCAAAACAGTCACTTAAGGCATCCCAACTGTCAAGGTCCCCAGTGTGCTTATTTGTGGCTAAGATGGCATCTTCCTTGGCTGTGAGGGATAGGAGGTTGTAGTTAGACTTTAACTGCTTGCTGTCTGCCTGTTGCAATTAAACGGCCAGATGGCTTACACTTGAGGGCGGGTGGACGTATTTAAATGACTTTTACGCGAGCGAGAAACTCAACATTTTTTACAGCTGGTGATGGCTAATCGACTCCTAATGTCTCCATAAAGGTGATCTGTCACTGTATCTGTGCTATCACATAGGGGGCATGTTAGCCCCCTATGTGATAGCAATAAAGTTAAGTTAAAAAAAAGTTTACAAAATGAAGGTCACATATAAAACAATTTCAAAAACACAAAATGTTTTCTTAAAGTTCCCTCACCGCACATACACACACATACAAACGCAAACACACATCGGGTGTACCTATGTGCGCAATAGACAATTGTGCCATACATGTTACATATCACCACAAACATCTGAGTGCAAGCAATAATTCTAGGGCCATCAATCACTGTTAACTCTAAATTGATGAGTGGTAAAAGCGTTTAAAACCATGGTTCTCAACTAGTGGGTCCCCGCATGCTTTCTACTGCGCTAGGTGAGGGGCTCCTCAGCTTCCCTCTAGCACAGCACTGCCAATTCTTGTGCTGAGCAGCCATTCAAAATATGCTGCCTGGCGCTGAGTGTGAGCTTGAGGTGGGGTGGGTTGGGCTGGGGTTAAGGCCGCGAGGGAACTCCATCCATAAGTGCATTGCTTACAGTTCCCTTGAGTGCCCTGCAGAGGTGCCTGGACCTACCACACAATCACACTTACTAAGTGTTCTGGTGCACTGCTATTCATTTGAATGGCACCCCAAATGCACCTCCCGCTCACAGTTCAATTGCCTGCACCAGAACCACAATGCCACGTGTTCCAGTGCGGTGTGACTTGGGTTGCGACTTAATGACCATGCACAAATGTGGATCCTGAGGTTGCACAAGAACCACTATTTTAAAACATCGCCTATGGGCAATTTTGGGTATTTAATTTTTTTGTGATTTCAAGGGCACACACAATATTAAGGCTTGACATGTTTGGTATCTATTTACCCACGTGACCAAAGAAATGTAGCAGAATACATTTTGGCATAAATGTTTGAAGAAAGATTATTTGCAATGTTTCATAACATAAAATAGGGAAAACTGTTTGTTTTTTCAAAATTTTCAGTACTTTTTTTTATATAGTAAAAAATAAAAAACCCAGTGGTGATTCAACCACTAAAAGAAAGCTCTATCAGTCCCAAAAAATGTATATAAAATGAATTTCAGTATGACTGAATAAATATGAGTCAAATACCTCAGCACTGAATACTGAGAAATAGCCTGGAAAGAAACGGGTTTTACAACCCGGTCTTCAAGTGGTTAAAGAAAAACGTCACTAAAACATCTGAAGTCTACTTAGTAACCAGCAACTGTTGAAACAACTGTGTTACATGTGTATGTAGCATACACCACAGCACGCAGAGTACAGTGGTTTAGATTATGTAACATAGAGCCCCTTATTTCCCATTGGAAGGGAAAAAATACCAGTGTGGGTGGTCTTTGGGAGAAAAAAGGCCTATGCCATTGGTCAGTCAGGTGAAAAACACCCGATGTCACGGGGGGGAGAAAATGGCTGGCATCATTGGTCAGTGGGAGGAAAATGCATGAAATCATTGGTTTGTGGGAGAAAAATGTCTGGCTTCATTGTTCAATTATTACAAATCAAATTGCAGAGTGAGATTGGGAAGGTTGTGAGTGGAGCAAGTTTGGTAAAACTCACGCACTTCAATGAGCAGACTACTCTAAGCTTTTTTCAGATTGGTTTATTTGGATCAATAGTCTCCACCACACATTTAAAAAATATTTTTGCTATCTGCTGCTTGGGGATCATAGCTGAGGATGACTTGAGCTATGTAGCCCTGCAATAGATCAGATTGCAGTGGAATAGAAAGAACATCTGTCTTTTTTCAGATGCATACAGAATATTCAGTATTGCTGTACTTAAGAGAGAACTATGGGGTAAGTGTTTTTCCCCATAGTTCTCTTTAGGGGCACAGGAGGACATATACTTACTTCCTTCCGTGACCCAAAGCTCAGTATATCGCGGGCTATTGCCTGCGATTTACTTTGAGCGCCGCAACCAGTGGCGTAACTAGTGACCTCAGGGCCCCATGCAAGAATCCCATGAAGGGCCCATCCCCCCAAGAAGACACAAATTAGATTTTTTTTTTTTAAACAAAATTAGACAAGGAAATAAAAAAAAAAACACTGTCCTCTTTCATCTCCCCCTTCATGTCCCCAGTTGGCCGCAACCGTGACAGATCCTGACAATACTGTATGATCAGGCAAAATCATACAGTGTAAGTTCACTTACACTGTATGATTTTGCCCGAGGAAGGGGATCCTGTGCGACCCTGAAATGTTTGTTGCAATACTTGTTATGCTGAACGTCAATAAATAGACATTTGTTGTCTTTCACCCTGGAGTGCCGGTGTCTCTGCTTTTGCTCATATTTGTGACGGCTGCCATCTGTCGACTACCGTAGCACCCGCTTCTAAAAAAAGGAATTTTGCGGTCACGAGTGCGATGGGACTGTGGACTTTATGTTTCTGCTCACTTCCCGATTAATAGAGCCGACCTGTGACAGCCTCTTTGTCACAGGTCGGCTCTAACTATGAGGATGAGTGGAAATCACTCACCTCATGGTTCTCCTTTAAACATCTAAATTCAATAATATGTAACAAAATCAATTACATTTTGTTTTCGCCTAATCATTGTGACAATATGTCATTCTTTCATTCTTAACTTGAAAAAAACAATTTATCATATTTTTTTTAACTAAAGAAATATGCTGACTCATTGTGGCTGGGAGTGTCCAGATGTATAAATAAGAGCATTCAGCTCCAGGATTTTAGCAGTCCTCTCTGCAGAGTTCAAAAGACTAAGTAAAACATTAGCATGGCACCACAGAGAATCTTGATTACAGGGTGCAATCGAGGAATTGGACTGGAACTTGTACGTCAGCTACTGCAACAGCCCAGTCCTCCTAAGCAAATCTTTGCAACTTGTCGTGATCCAAGTCCAACTTCCCCTCAGAATAAGGTAAAATACTACTTGTTTTTAAACATTTCTTTGTGTTGAACGTGCTGAAATAATTCTTAATGTAATATCACTAGTGGCAAGCCTGAGTGATTTGTTAGCTACTATAGGGATAATTTACTAAAGGCCAGTAAGCCGTTTACTTTGAAAGGAAATTTTCTCTTAGCTTAGTGAATGTGGTAAAAATTCACTTTGCATCAAAAACCCTATCGCATACAAGGTAATAAAAAAAGCAATGTGTTTGCTTGCACATGATTGAATGCTGGAAGTCAGCAGAGCTTCACCTTATTCACTAAGCTAAGGGAAAATTTGCTTGCAAACTGAACAGCCTAATTGCCTTTAGTAAAGCAACCCCAATATATCTGTGGCAGACCATTTGCATTTGGTTGTATTTTCTATTTTAGCTTTTGTTTCCACTTTCTTATATGCCAGTGTGTAATGTTTTGTTGCAGTTTTGTGCAGTTTGAAGAAACGTTTAAGTATATATTAATGTATTTTCGCCTGATTAAATATATATAGCATTAAAAACATAATTATTTTAACTTAAGTACAAAGATGGACACTGGTGTCTTTGTGAAAATGAAAGTGCTTTAATCCATACCAACTAATGTTACTGGAGCTAGACCAGTCTGTTTTTTATGGATTACTGGACACTAGTCTTTGTCTTAATACAAATTCCCATTCAGCACCTCACAGACCCTGCCTTAATACATGCTAATTATAAATTTGTATAAACATGCGTAACAGATTCTGGGTTCAGTTTTTTTGGAACTTTTTTACGTCAAGGTCCTGGCTGTTGAGTGCGGCTTTACATACATTAGATTCTGGGTTCATCTGTAATTTAATGTAATAAATTGAGTATAGCGGTTTCTACAACATTTATTCTATAGATGGTTACATTGCTTCTCTGCAGCTACAAATCATTGGTCAGCAATGATAACTACCAGCTCAACCAGCTCAACTGGATAACATGAGTAGTTGATGGCAATTCTGTAACTGCCTTCAAACATTAAAAAAAGTGTCAAATGCTCAACAACCAATCCTGGAATTGCTGTAACATTGACCTTTCATTTACTGTAAATCCTTATTTTTCAAGCAACAAGAGAGAGAACCTCATTCAGATTTTTATTGTTATCTTACTAACCACTAGTGAGATCTCCTCAATATCTTGGGGGTCACCTAGACAGTAAGTGAATTGAAATCTTCCCAACAGGGACATCGATAGTAATAAAAACTTGACAGATAAATTAATGACAGAGGAACCGGATGGTTCAGACCATAATGGCAATTTGCTATCCACATTTCAATTGATATCACTGCAAAACAGTTAAGTGCATGGTACAAATTTGGAAAATTGTACCTGCTGCACTCTTGGCTATGTGGGATAGAAGAGCAGGCTATTAGCCAGGCTACATCACAAAAACAGAGAAAAGGTAAGCATGAAGCTTAAAATGTAAAACTTGATTATTAACATTAAAAGCATTTAAAAATGTAACAAAATAAAACCAACTGACAGTTTCCTCAAAAAAATCATTTTAATTCAGTAGCTAGCCCCTAAATCCAGACATTAACTTAGAAAGCTAGAAAAATATGTAATAATGTAAATATGTCATCTCTACTGGGAAGCCTATCCCACCTCCACCTAACCACTGAACTATCACTTTCTCAAACAATTCATCCTCACACAGCTACCTCCTCATGTATCACTTGCCCCTCCCTTTTAGATTGTAAGCCCTCAAGGGCAGGGCCCTCCTTACCATCTTGTCTTGAATTCTATTGTGATTGTAATGTCTTCCTTATATTGTAAAGCACTGTGCAAACTGTTGACGGTATATAAATCCTGTATTATAATATTAATGCATAATGCAAAAAATACATGAAGTTTCTCAAAGCCAGCTGGTGAGTGCTGTACATATTAATTCTTATTAATATCAAGGCAGCCCCATAAAGTATCCACCTTGCTGGAAAATACTCCTTCCCGAATTAAGAACCAAGGGTTATTATTCAAAGAGATTGATTTTGTCATTAGGACAACAGTGACGGAAAATACCTTAAAACTGTTAGTAACCTAAGTGGACACACATTTTTACGGTAAAGAAGAGTCTGGCACCATTCAGAATATACAGTAAGGGATCTATTTATAATTATTTTAACAGAAGATTCACAAAACCTTCATCAAGGATTCACACATTACCAACTTTATTTGTTCCACCCACCATATAGCCGAGCAGATACTGTCCAAACAGTACTAGCGCCCTGGATGGTGCTGACAAGTATAGAAAATTCCTATTTATGTAGGACTGTATATCTAGTACTAGGTGCAGAGCCCTTGCCACTGTGCTTAGTCTTCCATAGGTCCCCTGATACACAGTGGGGATTATGCAAGCTGATGTAATTAGTCTAGCTGCCGTATTGCCATGGCCATAGTAAAGACGTGCAGTGCGGACAGTTTGTATTTTGAAGTACAGTTGTGGGTTTGTAGAAAATGTTATATATTAAATTACCTTTTTTATTGTAAAAGAACAAACATACACTTTTAAATAACTGGCAGTGTACATTGTAGTCTTTTTCTGGCATCCACATGTTTTTCAGATCGAGAGCTTGTTTATGCCTAGGGGACAGGAAAAAGCTATTTTACTTACCTGATCCCCTCTCCCATTGACTCCCCTAAGGCTGCTAGACTGGTCTCTGCAGCCCTTCACTCCGGCGGTCCAAGAACCGCTGACGCCATCACGTCTAATACAGATTCCATAGATCTGCATTAGAGGAAGGTGCCAAGGAATATTCCATCAGCCAGAGAGCAGGGGATAGAGGTGAGCACTGAATGCCAGGGGAGAGGGGATCAGGTAAATAAGTGCTTTACTCCCGTCCCATAGGCATAAATGAGCACCTAACCCTTACAGTACAGGGGCAGCTTCACTGCAAGGGGAGTTTTTTGGTTTGCACGGAGACAGGCTTTAAAGTGGGCCTTTACTTATATCTTTTAAAATAACAAGCCTATACTAATATAGAGGGGTATAACCTACTCAGGAGGGACAGATGTGGGAGGATATGCATATAAGGGACGATATCACGTCAAACAGTGGAGAAGATGTGGAGACCTTATCGCTGGAGCTCTATATGGCGGACCCTAGCCGTAAACTTATTGTGGGTATATGCTATAAGCCTCCGAATATAGGGGAGGAGGGGGAAGCAAATCTACACTCCCAAATAGAAATAGCTGGGAGGGAGGGCAATGTAGTCGTGATGGGCGACTTCAATTACCCGGACATCAATTGGGCTAATGATACCTCAGGATCGACAAAGGCGGGCCGATTTCTGAGCTTGTTGCGAGACAATTTCTTGGAACAGATGGTGGAGGTTCCAAGTAGGAAAAATACCATCCTAGATTTAATAATTACTAATAATGGGGAATTAATCGAGGATATTGTAATTGGGGAGACACTGGGTAGTAGTGATCACAATGTGATTACTTTCAATATTAAATATAGGAAAGGAAAGAGGGTGGGACGGACAAGAACCCTTAATTTCAGAAGGGCAAACTTCGATAAGTTGCGCAAACTAGTGGGGGAAATAAAATGGGATAACTCATTTCACAACCTAAACTCAGACCAAATGTGGGACTGCTTCAGTTTGCCAAAGCAATCCCAGTGTGCATTGCTTTGGCAAACTGAAGTCATTTTGCCCTCTCAAAGCAGTAGGTGAATACTCTGCATTTTACACCTGACATGCCTATGTTATTATTAATCATCATACTGTACATAGAGGGATGTATTGGTAGAATTTGCTTTTTGAGCATAAAGGTCCACTTTAATTATCAATCAATCCAGGCTCTCTACTTATTTTGTTTTGCTACCAGTCAGATCACTTCTTAAATGCATAGAAAACTGATGTGGGCTAAATATGCTGACTGGAAATACATTATCTGGTTCAATGATTTCTGGTGCCAGACACAGGATATGATATAACACCTTTGGAATGAGCCTGCACGTGGCTTCAGTAGAAAGGAGCATTGAAAAGGACACAACATTGTCCACTGTGGTACTGAACCCAGGGGATTTACTTTTTTTTTTCCCACCGAGTATAAAAAAAGCCATGGTGTGTAGTATTTGTGTGATTCTGTTTTGTGCCAAATCTATTGATCAATTTACATAAAATATGAATTAATTTAAAAAATAAATTGCACAAAGGTATTCCATTATACTCAGATTATTGAGGGATATTTTGTGCTATTTATATTTTATGTGAATTCATAAGTTTTTAATTCCTTTCTTTGGTCCATTTTTCAGTTACATTTCCCTTTCTCTATTCCATTCACAGGCAGAATGCACTACATATATAAATCATTGCCACAGTGCAGTTTGCAAGCCAATGTGCTTCATGCATACACAATCTGCAGTCATACATACACAAACAAACCAGTAAACCTTTATTTTGTAGAAGTAACCTGGAGTAAGCACCAAGAGGAACCAGTGCAAGCACCAAAATGGTATAAAAACTCTGCCAGTAGTGGCCCTTTGGTTGGAAGAAAACACAAGACAGGAGAGCCGCATGGCTACAATGCTTTTTATGACCATGATTTGCCATCCACTTTAATTTGCTGTGAAACTACACACATATGTGCTAACCTCAAACCAACCTTTTACTCAGCTACCACTAAGACTTTTGCATTTTCCCCCCATCTCATTACAGGATGACATATGCACTCATGTATGGGTTAACTTATCAAATAAGCACAACCATGCTTCAACAAATAAATCATAGAATTCCTGTATATCAACACTCACTCAGCGATTACCCAAACACTATCATCTTCTAGCTGCATTAGGGGCACTTCACAGTGGCTGTTCTGTAACTGCTTGCAAAAGTCACCATTTAATCTTTGGGCAGTTAACTTGTTTTGCACACAAATATTGAGAGTTCCAGCTCATCTTGATGTGATACATGCCAAGAGAAGCGTGGTATTCAAGGAAACGCACAAGTAAAACATTTAAATACAACAATACATTGAGCACTTTCAAATGTGACCATATACAAATTAGGTATTTTATTCTTTCAGCCTGAGTATATTATCTGTATCTTTATTGAAAGAAATGTAATATGGACCCACAATATATCTCATGTAAGTTTAACATCATTTTATTTTGCTAATAAGTACTTTATATTTATATTAACATAATTTTGTTTTGATATATTTTTACAGGAATTGAATGATCTTGCTGCCAAAAACCCAAGTGTTGTGGTGATTAAACTGGGTAAGGTTTCCAGCTACAAACTGATGTAAATTAAATAAAACTTCACTACACTGTAATCTTTAGCTAATTACCTTAGCAGCTAGGTCAAGCCAAGAGCATGTTTTTAGTTCGGTTAGAGGCATATATATGCATTCAAAATGGTTTTCTAAACAGATATATATGCAAAGGTATATCTCTAAGATGCTTTTATCTGCAGTTGGTTTAGCTGCATTTAGAAAAAAAAGTCAGGTGCGTCCAGGAATTGATTTGAACTTCTAAATGCACCAAAACACAAGGAAAACCCACGTAAAGGCAAGATACATTTAATTTGCAGAAACCTCATTGGCTAGTCCTATTGACTGTTTCAATGGATAACGGACAGATGCATGTAAACGCATATGTGTGTGTAAACGTGCATAAAAGTGCAGAAACACGTGTAAATGCACATAATTTTAAGTATCTAGAAGCAGAAACTAAGCATTTAGCCGGAGAGATTTTGTAGACAGATATCTGCATAAAAACACAAGTGGCAAGTGTGAATGAAGCCTAGTATTGGCTGTTTAGTAGATATAGAACTTTGGTTGTGCCTCTGCTGGCATTCATTGTGGTTAATTTTCTCTTGACAACTACAGTACAGGAAATATTGTACAATATAGAACTATTATCTGCTCTTTCCTTTTGGGTGGTCAATCAACAAGCCAGTTGTATTGGACCAATGTCAGCAACTGAATACAAAATAATGGCAAAATAAAATCTCTTAAGTTCTTAAATAAAAGCATTAATAATAATTTCTAACATAGGATCTAATCTCACTAATGTAGACCGCATCTGCTCAGGAGGAAGGACGTTTAGGGTAACTAAAGAACTAAGTAACTCTCCACAAGATTCAAAATAGATTGAAGTATACTCTCGTAGATTAAAACCTACTCTTGTAGGTTGCATAAACCACTAAAACTCCTTGAATAATTTCATGTCAGGTACAACAGTATGCATGACATAATTGTGTTTCTTTGGGTTCATAATAGGAATGCAACGATACCGTTTTTTCGGTATGTAGTACCAGTACCAATATTTCTATTTCGGTACTTGCCAAAATCTAGTACCGGTACTTCCGATAGCATGGAGCCGGCTTCCCGGGCAATCAGGAAGCCAGGCATCGTATCATTACCCGCCGCCGGGCTTCTTGATTGCCCAGGAAGAGATGGCTTCCCAGCCAATCAGCATCAAGCTTGCTGTTTGGACGGAAAGCTGGCTCCATCATGAAGCGGGGCCGCGAGTCATTACCCATGGCCCGGCTTCCTGATTGGCCGGGAAGCTGGCTCCATGTTCCCTTGCGGCATTGCCGGTCAGAGGAAATCTCCCTCTGACCACAAGTTTCGGTATCGGGATAAGTATCGGAGCATTTGGGCGAGTACTAGTATCGGTGCATCCCTAGTTCATAAAAAGATGGAGTTGACAGTTGCCTTACTGACAAGGGGTTAAAGTAATTTGGCTATTTGTTGCACCTTGCAGTGCTGTTCTACTGAGGCCAGGTTCACATCTTGGCGATCTGTGACCGCACGGCAATCGTGCACGAAATCGCACAGATGGCCTCGCGGTCACGGAGTCGCACACCACCGCTGATCGCGCTGGTGGTGTCATTATTTCTAATGGCACTCCAGTTGAGCCAGGCAAGTCACACAGTTTCCCAATTCCTCCTGTGCGATCACACATGGTTGCGGTTGAAAAAACATGTACCTTTTTTCAGCGATTGCATCAATAGGGCTGCACGGAAACCACTGTGTGCAACCGCACACGATCGCGCAGTTCTGCGCCAGCCCTGCACCAGCCCTCATAGTATGATTGTTATGGAAAAAAATAATTCACTTTAAGTTGCTTACAATTGAGGCTCATTTCATATTGTATTTCATAGAGATATACTTTGCTATTTGGAATGTTTGCACTGTGTATAAATTGTGGACTCTGGAACTTTATTTTTTTTCTTGGTAGAGGCTACAAAATCCAAAAGCATCCAAGAGGCCAAAAATGAAGTGGAAAAACATCTAAATGGAGCTGGACTCAATGTACTGATTAATAATGCTGGTATTATGCATACTAGCACACTGGAATCTGCAGATTCAGATGACTTTTTGAATATTTACAACACAAATGTGGTGGGACCATTACTCATAACAAAGGTAAAAATAAATGTATCTAATACATATACATAATAAAGTGTAAATCTAGATAGGTAACAATTCCCTCCTTAAAATGTGAATACACTGCTCTCTCTTCTGTTCATTAAAGGACATATACATATGTTATAGAGCCACACGCAGGAGTAGGGCACAAGGTGCAAACACAAAAAAACTGCAAAGAGGCGGCCAGGGCCGGATTTCCCACAATGCCAACCAAGGCCCGGTCTCAGGGCAGCAGAGAGTAGAGGGGCAGCAGGGGTGTGGAATTCCTATCTCCTGATGCCCGGGACATGCAGTTCCCAGGCGTCCAGCGGATAGTTGTTTTCTACATTTAGCCCTGCTTTGGGCAAGCAGAGCTAAATGTACAGCGGGGAAGCCTCCGCTTGTTTTCTACAAGTTATCTCGTCAATATTGATGAGATCACTTATATGCAGCCTGCAGGGCTGCCATCCCGCGTGGTGGAGGGGTTTGGCGGGTAGGTGGGCGCATTGAGGAACCTGGGCTTGGGGCAGCAGAGAGAGTAAATCTGGCCCTGGAGGCGGCCCCTGCTGATTGCAAAGCCACTATTCTATAGCGAGTACAAAAATACTATTTTCTCTTCTCTGTATTGAAACACACAGTGAAGATATGTAGACCTTGAGCACTGGGACGTCACAAAGCAGTGTCCATAGATGTAGAACAACTGGTCTAAAAAATGTCTTCAAGAAAAACATGTAAAAAAAATTCCAGCACAGATGTTTAGGTTCTAACATCTTGATGTTAGGCAAAAAACTGAGGCTATGTTGGCAGACAGGGGGTTGCCCACCAGCAGGGGTCACCACTAGGGAGTTGTGTTTGTGCTAGGCATCCTCCTACTCCTACAGGTGGCACTGTAACCCAGTGGTCAAGAGTTACAGATCATCGCTGGGTCCTTCAATTATTCCAGAGAAAATAATTTTATGGTTTGTACCATTGTAAATATCCTATTATTACCAAAGCAGCGACCAGATCTTCAAATGTTCAGAGAAGTCAATGAATGCCACTTGCATAACTAAGACTGGAACCATTATATAATGCTGACCTTTGTACATTGTCTATTCTCCTGTCTCCTTCAGTTTCAGCAAAATGAAGGAACAATTACATGCTTGTGTCCTGCAGTCATTAACTGTATGGTGACTGTAGTTAGATAACAATACTTATTAAAAAGTCTGGTGTAATTCTAAAATAACGTATGGAGCTAAAATGCTTTCCAGTACTTGACACTGTCACAAAATATGTGTGCATACTTCCACTACTTCATCATTCTAAGAGGAGGCACAATTCATGGTAAAAGCTGCTATTTTATTATGTGATTTATTTTCTGTGTCACACATGTGTTAACTCAATTACAAAGACTAGAGGCCACCACCTAAAGTTGGTTGAGAAAAAATTCCAGCACAATGGGCGAAGAGGGTTCTTTACAGTAAGAGCGGTTAAGGTCTGGAACTCACTGCCATCGGCAGTGATTTCAGGCAAGAGTGTAGATTTGTTCAAGAAACGTTTGGACAATTTCTTGAGGGACCGTAATATCCAGGGATACCAGTATCCCTAAGAAAGAGATGATGCGTGGATCTATATGGGTTGGACTTGATGGACGTATGTCTTTATTCAACCCCAAATACTATGTAACTATGTAACATATTCAACTATGAAGCAAAAAAGGAAACAATAACGAAAATGTGGGCATATTTATATTGCAGCTACAAAGCAAATAAACTCCAGTCCATTTTTTATGATAGAGTAGGGGAAAATTAACACTTCAGGCTTTTTATTACTGTCTTATTATTGTCTGGAGATTTTCCCACATTTCCTGCCCCTTTGATGCCCACTGTTAGAGTATAAGTAGCAATACTAATAATGTTTATAGGGTATTATTCATATAGGGATTATGTATGAATGTGAAGAACATAAGTGCTGATGGATTTTCTATATATTCATTTGTTCAGTTTGGGAATATACGCAAGCAGGCTAAAGTCCATGGTTTTAGTTGTCTGGAAAGAAGTAATCCTAGAAGTTATTTGCTGCATATGTTATTCATCATGATGGTAGAGATGGCTAGAACCTCCCACATTCCTAATTACTGAGAAAGACTGTGAGGGAGTTATATCTCTTTACTGTAATATTTCTTGATTAGGGTATTCATATAAGAAAGAACATTGAATTATGTATAAATATTGATATTGGCACATGGAATAATGTGGTGTGGAGTAGAAAACATACAGCATGGTATATGAAATGAGGCATTGAGTTATAGGGAATGTACAGCACGGCGCACAGGATGAGGAGGTAGTAATAGAGAATGCATAGCATGGTATACAGAATGAAGCGGTGGGAATAGGGAACATACAGTAGGGGACAAAATAGATTGTTGCAGAATAGGGAACATATAGCATGGCATACAGAATAAGAGTAAGTGGAATAGGGAATATACAGCATGGTATACAGTGGCTGTGGAAATTCCAGACCCACGTGGCCACCAGAACAGGATGTGTATCTTTCCCACAGAGATGCAGACATTAGAAAAAGCCCCACAGTGGTTGTAATTCTTATCTACACTCTCTAAAACTAGAAGGAAAATGTTTGAGCTGAGTAGAACTTCAGAGCAAACCAAGTCCATTCCTGTATTGAGTTCACAGTCTGTCCAGAATCCAGATAGCACCGGTATACAAATATTAAGTGGATTTTCTTTTTTTGATCAAATTTTTTCAGTCGTTTTTTAATATAGTTTCACTTTAAAACTAGGAATGTCCCGATACCACTTTTTCAAGACCAATTACAAGTATTTCCCCTCATGTACTTGCCGATACCAATTACCGATACTTTTTCTTGAAGGGACAGGTGACATTTTAAAATGTCACCTGTCACCGCTCCATGCCCCCCGCTCTGTCAACGCTCCACGCTCCCTGCTCTGTCAGCGCTCCACTTGTGAAAGTACTTGTGAAAATGCCATGTATCGATACCGATGCTAGTATCGATATCGGGACATCCCTATTTTAAACTTTTATTGTTAGCCTATATGTATCCTGAAGCATACAATCACAAAATGTGGTAATATTTAACACAAATGTTACCAATCTAGGTTTACAAATAGAGTAAACCTACATGTACCTCAATGACAAGCAAGAAGTACATCTTTTGCATTATTTAATGGAATTGTTATAGATTAAAGGCAATCAATGATGGAATGATGGCTTTACTAGTGCAATACTAAGATGTGATGACACATCTCACATGTAGTATTATGTATGAGGTTTCTAAGGCAAACAATCATCTCTTTGCCAAAAATAGAACTAATGATCCTTGTGCGAGTCTTGCTTCAAAGTCATGTGAAAAGTCATGTACTGGAACTTATTTTACAGATAATACTGGAGTTTTGTAATCAGGTTATCCTTAATAAAAAACTAGTTTAGTTTACCTTAATTCTTGAAATGATATTTTCTTTTCTTTAAGAATTATGGACTAAGCAAAAGAAACATAATATTTAAGGCAAATATATGAATATGCATTTACAGTCCGCTTAATTTTCCACCTTTGAGTAACAGTGAACTACATAACGTGTCCATACACTGGACAAATGTTGACTGGTGTGTTGCTCTGTCGGCACCCCTGAATTCACAAAAAGTCATCCTTCAATCTACTTTTGTACTGTTCTTGGTTGGACAGTGACTGCAGTCAATCAGCTGCAGTCACTGTTTAGGTATTATGTGGTGTGCCACTGTCAGGCTGGGCACACACCTTACAACCATCGCAAGACTTTTGTCTTGCGATGGTTGTAAGGTACTTAAAAAAACGTACGATCTGCCTATCTTGCATAGGCAGATCGTACTTGCGATGATCGCAAGCAACGCCCGCCACGCCCCCTGAGGGGCGGGCTTCCGATGACCGCAATGCCGAACGGGCAGTGTGCGCTTGCACACACCGGCCCCTACAGCTGTTATCGTACGGACATGCCACAAACCCGCCGAACGTCGTACGATACTCGGCGGGTTTTCGAACATGTCCGTGAGTTCAAAGTCGTGCGACCTTACAGTAGTAGAGGTCGCACGGCTTCCACACACCTTACGATAATCGTACGATCGCGGGATTTCCCACGATTATCGTAAGGTGTGTGGGGACCTTCAGAATACAATAGCCTGGTGGTGGACTAACAGCATTTTATTTTTTGTTCAGCCCGTGGAGAAAAAACTATAAGTGTATGGTTAGCCTTACAGTAGAATTCCAGTAAAAGGTTTTTATAGTTTTTGCAGAAGGGTTTGAATACCAATCAGGTTTATAATGCTGTATGTTCTGCCATTGGCAATATTTCTGTTCACCACCTCTCTGGAACCTGCAACAGGAAGTTAAAGGAAATCTCCTTAAAGCAAGCAAAAAATTATAATTCTATTAGTTATACTTACAAAATGTACTAATACAAATCGACCTTGTCTTTTGAATCCAGACCTTTTTGCCATTGTTGAAAAAGGCAGCAGAAGAAAATCCAGGAAAGCCTCTTGGCTGTGACAAATGTGCTTTGATAAATGTTTCAACGCTGTTGGGATCTATTGAAAAAACTCCTGAAACATTTGTCCCATTTCAATTCCTCTCCTACCGCTGCAGCAAGGTATGTTCTCTTCTTTGATATTGAAGCAATACGGGAAGCTTCGAAAAACATTCATTTCAAACTGTTAGATTATATATTCATCCTAGAGCCATGTGTTTGAGGGGACACCTGTAGCGAGGAAGTATGTAGGCTGTCTTTGCTGAGTCTTCAGAAAATACTAGTTCCTTGGCTGTCATGCTGATCCGGTTGCTTCAGTTCAAGAGAGTGCTACGTACTCGTATACGAGAAGGTATGGTTGAGAGTTCAGTTCCAATTTTTATGATCAATTTATATTGGTCATAAGAATAAAAAGGCTAGCCAATGCATTTTGGGGGCTTATCTGATTCCCCTTTCATCAGGACTTGTGCAGATATGGCTTGGAAAACAGGGTGACTGGGTTAGAGCATGGAATAAGGGCCTGCTTTGGTTGTGTAGTAAAGCTCAGGCCACAACTGCAATTGCTTTTTGCAATGGATCTCGGCTGCGGATTTTTCAGAGTAGACACTATCAAAGGCTACAGAGGCTGATGCTCGTTAAGACTCAAGGAACAACTTGACAGTACAGAGAAGTTGCTCAGCAATTTTCAGAGTAACACATGCGTTTATAAAATTAAGAAATTGCCAAACTTGGCTCCAATAATGAAACCAGAAGAAGTTACTTCACTTCACTATAAGTAAATAACAGGAACAGTCTTAGGCAAGTCTATAATGCTATTAAGGAATCAATACTTGCGGTTCAGTAGTTCAATCTGAGGAAGCACGTATCTCAAAAGAAACACACATGTAGTCCTCCCAGATAGCCTTGCGGTGGGTGGCAAGGGTGTAGTAGCATTGCTATAACTATGGCAATGTGGGAGTTGATAAAGCACACTTGAGAGATGAGTTGCAATGCTGCATAGAAGGAAAGTTTAACAGTCCCACTAGGAGGAACAGGTAATGATGATTACTTAGCTGGTGTCATTGAATTTTGTGGCTTAAGCCGGTTAGGAGAGATGGGAGAGGAGGCTGAGGTCCGAGCCTGGAATGCTGGAGAGGTAAGTCTGTTACCTGTTGCCGTTCTAGCTGCTAGACCACCGACTAGAGCAGACCCTTAATCCATGCTTGATACTGCATTTTTGTTGTTGTTGCCCAAATCAGTATTTAGCAGCAGTCAGAGTTACTCATATGAGATTCATAATTGAAAGATCTCCAATATCCATAAACCATGCAGTTATTAGGATGTGTATGGGTGAAAACTCCGCAATCATGAGCACAAACAAGCATAGAAAGTACTTGTGTGCAGAGATGTTTTGTATGTTGGAGAATTTCTGCGACTGATTCAGGATTGTTCAAAGAAGAGTGTGAGACCATGTGAGCATCACTGTCACATGTTTAGAAAAAACAGGCTGATGATTATGGGTTTTCCTCCTATCACTTGCCATTGCTTATGACAGTTCCACTAGATATCCAGGCAATATAAAATTCAAAGGCTTAATATGTCTGTTATTAATATTATTCCTTATCTGCAGGCTGCTCTTAATATGCTAACTCGCTGTCAGTCAGTTGCATATCAGAAAGATGGGATACTCTGCACTGCTCTTCACCCTGGATGGGTTCAAACAGATCTTGGAGGACCTCATGTATGTACTCTTCAAATTTACACAGTAACCAGAAACCAACACATCTTTAATATGCAGAATTATTGTAATTGTCCAATCTAATTTTGAGAGAACCTATATTCATTCAATATAAAGTATGTTGTTGTCATACAGAACAGTTTGGGATTTGAATCGATAATGTGCTTGTACTTGTATATTAAGCAAATAATTAAAGAGTTCCCTATATATCGCATATGTCCTATATTTACAATATTTGGCACCATTTTAAAATATTTGTATTAGCAATATTTGCTGTGATATACAGAGCACACATTACCGTTCACATTATTCCCAGTCCCTTAAACAGGATATAGTCTATTATCCCAATGATATTCATACCAGTTATACCGAGGCCAGTTTGGTAAGGTTTCAGTAAACATACTACAGTTAACTCCAAATTATCTGGTACCCATGGGGGTTAATAGATGCTGGATAACTGTCATTTCTGGTTGCTTGAGAGTTACTATTAACTCTCAAGCAACAACCCCCCCACCCCTCCCCATTCATCTGCTGGCTAGATTCTGCTATTGGCTATTTAAAATTGCCACAGCCAATAGCAGGCTGGCTATTGCATACGCCCACTGCCGGCTGTTTACATTCACCTGCCAGGTGCAGAATCTAGCTGTCCATCACAGCAAGATGTAAACAGAGAATTTTGTTAGCAACTAAATAAATTTGCACATGTCTATCAAGCAACTGGCAAAAAGAATTGAGGACATATTATGTCCTTGATTTTTTTTTTCTGGTTGCTTGAATGCTGGATAATAGGGAGTTTACTGTAGTTTGCTACTATAGCCAACTAGAAAAATATTTAACAACACCAGCCAGTAAAATCAAGGAAGAGAAAATAAATGGAAATAGCTTCACCTTCACCACAGGTCAGGTGCAAGACTTTGCCCAATCGGGGCTCAGTACTCTGTAAGAGCCATGAATGGGCAAAGTCATCATGACTTTGCCCAATCATGGCTCATCTGTCAGATGACATGAAACTGTACACTGTTGGGCGGAGCTAGCTGTCACCGCTAGCTCCACCCAATTGTTTGTTTTCCAGGCATCTGTCCAAATGCTATTCTGCGGCGGGTGTTCGTTGCGAGCGGGCAGGGCGACGGGCGTCTTTTATTTAATTATAATTTCTATTTATTTTTTATTTCGTCGAGTCATCGTTGTTGTGGACAACGCTGGATGACGTGATTGACCCTGGATTACGTCAATGGGTCAATATTTTGATTTTTTTAACAATAAAGGACTTTTCAATGAAAGGATTTTTTCCAAGTCTGTTTTTTTTAATTGCAATTTTATTTAACCCTTTAGTGAATGGGTAGGAGTCAGTGGCGTAACTACCAGCATAGCAGCCTACGGTCGGGAGCAGAAGAGAGGCTCAGGGATCCTTAACTTCCATGCAGCCGCAAGTTAAAATCTGTGCAGAGTCGCACGGAACCTAAGGACACCTGCATTCCTCTCCTCTCCCCTGCCACAGTGTAGAGCGGGGGGGATCATCTCCTGCCTGTGTTCGGCTGGAGAAGAAGCAGCGGCGTCTGATCTCCACTGCTGGCTTGGACTGCCGACAGGTAAGCAAGGGGGAGGGGGGGTCAGCTGACAGGGACTGAAGTCTCTCAGTCTTGTCCTAATATCTACTGAGCTGCAAGAGCCATTAACACTGGTCGCGGCTCATTCATATGCTAATTGTGTGATTTGCATATTTAATGAGCCACAGTATTCATATGTAAATCCTGCCATGCCTCAGTAATGTGTAAATCACCCTTCCCAAGGGAACTGAATGAGGGGGGGAGTCAGGTGCTAGAGTTGTAGAGTAGAGAAAGAAGGGTTAGGGCTTGCTCACACCATATACAGTGCGTTCCAGTGCGGTTAGCTGCTGGAACGCACTGTATCGCCTAGTAAACTCTCCCGGGCGGGAAGGGGCGCGGTGGTGCATTGATGTCGATAACACCGCAGCCACGCCCCCTGCAAGTGCCCACATCATAACGCGTGGCAGATCAGTGCCTGTGTTGCGGTCCAGTGCGATCGGACAAAATGCTGCATGCACCAGAACATGCACCCTCCCACATTGCCCATCCACTCTGTGCACCCTCCCGCACTGCAACCCACTCTGTGCACCCACCCACACTGCAACCCCCTCTGTGCACCCACCCACACTGCCACCCACATCGCCCACCCACTTTGTGCATTCACCCACATTGCCCATCAATTCTGTGCACCCACACCTCCCATCCACACCACCCACCTACTCTGTGCACCCACCCACACCGCCACCCAATCTGCACACACACACTGCTCATACTGTGCACCATGTTGTAAACTCGCTTTTCCCAGCTTCACTGGTGTAACTGTTATTTTAAGTTATATTTACGCTGCCACACCAAATAAATTAGGGAAAGTGGGCTATATTGCACTGTATAATCCTTCTTTGGTGTGGAAAGTGGGGTTACAAATTATAAGCCCCAGTGTTATTTTAAGTTATAATTATAACCCCCCTTGTGTGATTGCAAATCCCATATTCCCAGGGACAGTGATCTATTGCAAATGGCATGTAATCGTATTATATAATAATGATAATATATGCTGTAGTTGCAGGTTGGGGTGGCCCTATACAAAATTTTGCTATGGGGCCCTGTGATTTCTAGTTACACCCCTGGTAGGGGTACAAGTAACCCTTACTCATACACACGGGGGGTGGCAGCATTTATTAAAGGGGTACCCTGAAGTGAATAAGCCCCCTGCCCGCACCTAGACAACCAATGCCCCAGGGCTTGTGGGGAAGAGACCCTTGTCCCCATCTCCCCATCCCAGTGCCGAGGGCATGTGGACTGGTATGGGAGGGAGGGGAGGCGCTCGCTCATCCCCCCCTCCCCCCTTTCCGGCCCTATGCTCGGATTAAGGTTCTGGTATGGAATTTTTAGGGGGGATCCCTCGTAATTTTTCACCACATTCCCAACCCAGGGAGTGGGGTTCCTCCATAAAATTCCTACCAGACCTTAAGAGCCTTGTATGACTTTAGGGGGAACCCCACACACATTTTTGTTTACATGGGGTCCTTCCTCAATAATTCTACCAGACCTTAACCTCCCTGGCGGTATTCCCGAGTGTAGCTTTTCCATACCATAAGCGGTAACCCCGAGCTACACTCGGGAAAGCCGCATAGCATTTACTTACCTTGTCCCTCGAGCCGCGCTGTGTTCTGCGGCCGATGCCGGCTTCCGTCTTCCAGGTTCCGTCGCTTGCGAGCGTACACGTCGCAGGGGGGCGGAACCGGCGGGATATTTTTTTTTAAAAACAGCAAAGACGAAAAAAATTCGAAAAAAATAGACCGAAAAAATTACATGAAAAAAATTTAAAATCATACCGCCAGGGAGGTTAAGGTCTGGAACCCAATGCTTTTTTTTTTTTTTTAATGTGGTCCCTCCTAACATTCCTACCAGTCATAAAGGGTCTGGTATTGTTTGAGAGGGGGAACTGCACTGAACTGCACGCATTAAAAAAAATTTATATATTTTTTTTTTCTTTAGAATTGTCAGTTTTGCTGCAGCAGGTTCTATACATCCTACAGATTTGCCACTTTGCAGGCAGGTTAAGGGGACCCCCCAGGCACGATATTTGAAGGAATTTTTCATTTTTAATTATTACCCTTTAAGTGATGTTAAAACCACTGCTTCTTTAAAAACGGTATTTTTGAAAAGTTTTTTTTCATTGATTGATGTCCCCCAGGGCATTACTCGGATCCCCATACACATTTTATGGCCAATAACTTGCATATAAGCCCTCTTAGTTCTACCCCCATAGACTTGCATTGAGTTCAAGTTCAAACTATTTGCATGCACTAAAGTTTGAATTCGAACCAAACTCGGACCGGTTCAGCTCATCACTACTGTATAGGTAGGTTCTCACTCATACTCTCATACTTATGGAAAATCGAAAGGAGATTGTACAGAGACTGTACATTAGAATACAAAATAATATACAAGGATAAAATATTGCTACTGAATATTACAGCAAATCACACTTTAAAATCATGCTAATTTATGTTTACATACTTTATTTTTTCAGGCCCCTCTCTCAGTTGATCAAAGTGTAAAAGGAATAATCAAGGTGTTGGACAATCTTTCAGAGAAACATTCTGGAATTCTTGTGGATTGGGAAGGAAATGTTATCCCCTGGTGAAAAAAACAAAGTTACTACACTGTTTCAGTTATGTCTGTACTGTATGTGATTACTGAAAAGATTACCTACAAGTGCTGTATGACCTTTTATATTTGTTTGCTCTTTTTATTATTGTTAAGTGACAGATGTTCTGTACTTTTTCATTAAAAAGGGAGAGGTCTGCATACAATAAACTAATACCCC